AGCAATGAATTACGATGCTTTCTTGAGAAAGTGAGTGGAATGTTTTCCCGTTGCCTTCTCTATGGTGTGAAATTCAGTTTTTCTTACAGAAATCCTTCGATTAATGTATTTTCGATTAGTGTGCTAAAATTTTTATATTCCAAAATTCGGTTAGTGCATACATAATACTCAATTAGTGCGGTAAAACATTCTTCAGTTTAACCATAGTAATTGAAAATTGACTATTTTATAGTTACCGATTAATTAAAAATTTTCTAAAATATAAATATGGATAAGTACTACGTTATCTAAGTTATTACAGTAGTATTAAAGTATATATATATATATATATATATATATATATATATATATATATATATATATAAAATAAAAGGGATACGGTGGATAGCGGTTCGGATAGAGGAATCAAAGATTCGAATTCCAGTCAAATCCATTACGTTCACTTACGTGCTAATACCCTCGGGGAATAAATGAATCGTCTTCTCCCCCCCTCCCAGATATTGGCAACCATTCCAGGAGAATGAATTCAAAACCGGCCTGGAGATGGTTGGTTTCCATCAGACTAAACACCGCTTCTACTGTGGTTGTAGTACATATGGTGCCCCCTACGACCCTGATGTGTCACGGGATTTGCGATATATATATATATATATATATATATATATAAAAATGGATTCTCCCGTCGGTTTCGACGTATGAGAATCTGACAATTGATTCAGTTACGAAATTTTGTGCGATAATCTTAAGTGGTACTTAAAAGACCCGCTAGTCATTTAAAAAGGAGGCCGCCTCTAGAGCAACATTAAGGATTGTGGGATGAGATCACTGTTACATTGGCTGACCTTTTAAATCTTGCTCTCGCTTCTTGAAGTCGATTCAGACAAGCTGAATGAAAACTGCTGAGTCCACTAAAACACGTTGATCTCTTCTACTCGCTCCAAGGCTAAGCGCTCAAAGGTGTTATGAGGTATATTGACAGCTGACAAGTTGCACTTTAGCTTGTCTTTCTGAGCCATGGGCGTCCTACTTTCCTGTAGCCCTGATTTAACTGGTTGTACATTAGGATTTTGGATACTAATATATATATATATATATATATATATAGTAAATGCTCTGTTTATAACTAAATGTATTAACTACATTTACCGACTTGAATGTCCGAGAAATTTTCATAGGAAATATGCGTCCTCTGACAGCAATCGAACCTGTATCCTATAAGGAACCGTCATATATATTGATATAAAAATGTCTTAAAAAATAATTGTCGGACTTTGTCCATTTCATAATGTGTGACGTCATTTGTTTACATTTTGATACGCATCGAGCAGATATGAATTCACGAGAAAATCATTGAAAATTGTAGTTTAAAGCACGTCTGGCTATATGTCGATTCCTTATAGAATACTGGTTACATTCTATAAAAAGAACGCATGAATATAAAAAATATTTTAAAAAAATAATTGTCGGACTTTGTTCATTTCATAATAATAATTATATATTCAAACGTTGTTATATTGGATACTGATTTATTTATTAGACAATATGTATTGCGTCTATCGGTTTACGCATTCGTTATCAAATCTGCGTTTCCATTTAGAAGAGAAACTACCATTTAATCCGGCCACAAAGGACTTTTTTTTACCCTCAAATGGAAATTCCGTCCTCTTCACTCGAATTATTTTTCCCGAGCGACCAGTTTCAAAACGGAACTACCGACCTACGCCACCTAGACATTTAAGTAAGCAAAAATATGTCCCCCATCCGGGACCAAACATGCGTCCCCACTTTGTACACATTTGACTGAAATTGTTGTTTTAAGTTTTATTCACATATATATATATATATATATATATATATATATATATATTCATGAATTATTCATGCAAAGGTTAATGATTTAATTGGCGAGAAATCCATCGTCGCAAACAATTCAAATAATATACAAAAACCTCCGAAACTGTTATGAATGAAAAGATCCTTATTTCTATAAATATATATAATCAGCCTCGTATTTGAATGTAATGAATTCGACTAGAATTCGAACTCGGATGGAGGAATCGGAGAGTTCGAATTCCAGTCGAATCCATTACATTCACTTACGTGCTAATAACCTTGGGAAAGGTATGAATTCTCTACTTCTCCCCCCAGCTATGGGTAAATAGCAGGACAGATCGGGTTCTATATCTTTGGATGGCAACTTGTCAAGTTGGGGGTAAAAAGACAGCCTCATTAGTTATGTATCGAAAGATAGATGATCGCCTAAGCGTGTATCACGTATGGCACATAACTTATTACTTAAACGGTCATTTTTAGTGGATATCAACATTTGAGTAGATGAACTGTTTCTTTATTAAACAGTATATTTATTTCTTATCATCTACCGGCCTGAATATTGGAGGAATCTTATTAAAAAATATAATCACTCCCAGGTAGAATTCGAATCTGCATTCTCTTAGGGGAAACCGTCATTAGATCTGACGTGCTTTAACCTCTCAGCTACAGAGAACTTGATAGTCAATCAGTGCCCGAATTGTGCTTTTAAATACAGATTTTTCTCCATTCTCGAAATATGCATCTCTGCTCAGTTCCGTATACATTAAAAATAACTCTTAATAAAAAAAAATCGGATTAATAAATGAAAACTATAATATATATACACCTAGTGAACCAGACAAACCTACCCAGGTTTCACCTAAGCGGATCGTCAGGGAAAGGATCCGCTTAGGTGAAACCTGGGTAGGTTTGTCTGGCTCACTAGGTGTATCTAGGTCTGCTCTACGGTTGTATTGAGCTCTTTTGTTAGTTAGTTGTTTACTCGTATCAGGGTTTTTTCTTTGGGCTTCAAACCTGTATCTGTGCGATTTTTTTTTTTTTTTTTTTTTTTTTTCGCAGCCTTTCATGTTTCTAGCTCTTTCATTTTTTTTTTTTTTTTTAACAACCTTTTTTTTTTCCCTTTAAAAATTCGAGGGTTTTTTCAGAACAAGCTTAGTTAGTATAGCTTTGGGGTATTCCTTTAACCAAAAAAAAATTCTTAAAGAGTGCTCAATACAGAGTAGAGCAAATATAATTTATTCGAAAATTATAACATAAACGAGTTATAAAATCACTACAAAAATAGCTATTTTGTTTCAACACTTCTGATGTCTTATCAAGTGATGGTGTTGAATTTTTGTAGTAATTTTATAACATATTTATAATTTTCGAAAATATATATATATATATATATATATATATAGCTTAACGTTGTATCGAGCACTTTTTTTAAAAAAAATAAATTCTAAGAACTATGGATTCTTAATCCCTCTCTCTCTCTCTAACATATATATATATATGTGTGTGTGTGTGTGTCTATGTATGTAATTTCCCCTTCTAGGTAAATATAGGTAGATATACGAGCTAGCAATCGTATACAAGTACATATAAATACTCAATGTAAGCAAAAACAGTGCTCAATGTTATGTAACGGAGCTATTTAATATAAAATAGAAATAAATATAATAATTCCAGCACTTGAAAATTGCTTCGGCATGAAACTTAGATTTGTGCAATTAATGTAATATATATATATATATATATATATATATATAAAGTCCTTTTTTTTACCAAGACACTTGAGCTGACTTTTTTTTTATTTGTGCCTTTCTCTTACGAATGAAGTAATGTTCATTATCAACCTGTTCTGAATATGTTTAAAGTGCGAAAGCGGTGAAAATATCTTTTATGCTGACTTTTTCTCTTAACTTACATCGGTAGAAATATCCCCGACCCAAACAAAAAAGATGATCTGTTTTGTAAGTTAACAATTCAAGATAACGAAAGTTCCCCCGTCCTGACTGGTCTAACGCATTTGCACTCGGTGTCGACCTAATACGTGGCGATGTGACTCTATAATTATTCATGAGTCTCATTTTCCGGTTAAAGTTGAGCCAGCGATGTAATCGATTTCATATCATCTCCAATTTTCTCTAATCTCGTTAAAATTTTGTATTTCGATTTATGATTAAAACCAACTTTATTTGATTCTGGTCGACTTGACTTTAGGCGTGATTTTTTTTTTTTTTTTTTTATGACAATTTGGTGTTAAATAGAGAAAATAAACAAGTTACTTGCCTCTAAATCAAAATTGATTAAATGGTGTGAATATCGAATTCAATTTTATGTTCTCTCTGAAATCAATTTAATGATTAATTTTACGTTAGTTTGTTTCTATATAATTTATTTTGTGTTCTGGATGATAATTATGTCTTTCTTTTCTTCAATTACCCCCTCCTCGATGTCTTCCTTTTATTTGATTCCCCCCTCCCTTATGTCGCCTCCTTTTCTACGACATCCCCATCCCCAACGTTTTCTTCTTTTCCTTCGACTCCCTTCTACTCCCCTCTCTCTGATGTCTACTTCCTGTTCTTCGACTCCACTCCGGGATATCTTCTTCCTGTTCTTCGACTCCACCCCACCACGATGACTTCATGTTTTTCGACCACCCCCTCCCGATGTCTACTTCCTTTTCTTCGACTACCCCCTCCACTCCCGATGTCTACTTCCTTTTCTTCGACTACCCCCACTCCCGATGTCTACTTCCTTTTCTTCGACTACCCCCCTCCACTCCCGATGTCTACTTCCTTTTCTTCGACTACCCCCTCCACTCCACTCCCCATGTCTACTTCCTTTTTCTTCGACTACCCCCCCTCCACTCCCGGCGTCTTATTTCTCGACCCCTCTCTATTCATTGTATTCTTGGGCGAGAATATTTTTGCATTATCACATACAGTTTGGGCTCAAGATCACATGTGTGGCGTACTAAGTGAGGATCAAACTCATTAAGAAATTAGTCAATTGCGTGGCCATTTTCTTAAACATTACACCATGACAGTGTGCTCTTTCGTGCTCCAACTATGATCTGTGAGTCTTTATACAAGGTTCACCAATTTCGGTAAGGCGGGGAGGGGGCACTTGCGGCGGACGATTGTCTCATAGTTCTCCATGTTTTTGTTTTGTTTGGCTTTAATGCAATTTTATTTCTTTTTATTTTTCTGTTTCTTTTCTACACATGTTGAACAATGTTTTTTTTTTAAATGAGGCTTCTTGTTTTGAACCTCTACTGGGATTCCTGTACGCACCAGAATTCCAATATAAGCAGCTTTGCTAAAGATGCTGGGAAAATGGTCTGTTCTTTGTACAGCTCCAGAAAGTACATGACTCTTTCTGCTAAGGTGCCATAATGACAGGAATAAGACCAAACCAATAGTTGATTATTGTTACGTTATCTGCGTTGAAGCTACTCGGACATCACTCTCTCGACTTTAAACGCCATCATGTGGGTGATGAATTATTTTTCACCCGACAACTTTCCCGCAGGCACAATATTACAACTCTGTCGCTACTCTTTCGCTATTTCTATGGCAAATGTTCCGATTAGCTAGGGTCTGCCATGTCACATATGCAGGATCGTATCACCCGCATTCTAACACTCTCTCTTTCTCTCTTTCCATTTCTTTGTTCTTTCCCAGTCTCTTTTTCTCCCAATTCGTCCTAAGTAAGGCGGTAACGACATTAAAACACAGCTGTCTACTGGGTTTGAAAAAAAATGCAAGAACTTCAGTAGGAACCAGAAACCGAATCCTGAACAGGAAACAAGGGGTAACTCTCTATTCCTGTTCAAAAAACTCACATAGGAGTGTATAACTTTCCTTCGTGTTTCATTGTTAAATAAGTTCCAGAGAACCGCCATGTTGTAAAACTGATTCCCAAGAGAATTCTTAATCTTTTCATGTATCGGATCAACTTTTATCTGTCCTACATTTCTTCATAATTTGCAATTATTTCTGTTCCGTCCATACAACAACATTTACTAACCATCTTCCTCGAGTGGCTCTTGGGTCACTTATTGGGTGAACATATAGTACAAAAAAAAAAGAAAAAATATGCAACAGCTTTACGTGAGATAAGTGCAGCCATCCCTCTGATTAAATTTGACCGTTCAAAAACTTTGTAAAAAGGAAATACTCAGTCATAATATAACTTTTTGTAACATTTTCCGTCATAACAATCGGCTGACATTGTTAAATACATTAGCACTTTCGATACGGCGAACGTAATTATCCTTTGGAACACATGGCCCAGTGGATAATCCAGAGTTTGTGGGTTGGCCACAGCGGAGATGAACAAATACTTGTTCGGCTGAACTCTCCACTATGGCACCTAAAGTATTAGACTGGCATCGGAATTCCATCAATTTACACTTAAACTGTCTAGATAGATGTAGCTGTAAATTCTATGCTATCAGTTTTTTTTCTCTCGCACTTCTCGCTTGAGGAACTCCCTTCCGGCTCTATGCTTTCCATGCTAATTTTAATTTGTAAAAATTTAAATAGACTGTCATTCCCTATTCATTGTCTTCCTGTTTACTCTTGTCTCTTACTGCTCATCATTATTACTTCTGTTGCAAATTCTTCCATAATCTGTGATCGCTTGTGTTTTAGTGGCATTTCTGCTTTATCTTGGGTGATTCCGATTAAAAATGATTTCCTAATTATTTCTTTACAATAGGATACATAATAAATATTACATTGTAGTTGGTTCAAATATTTTTAAAATCGTGTAAGTATAAATTTATTATTGTAAATAAACAATCTAATAGTGTTTATAATTTTTTGTTAGGTTTTATTAAAATAATAAAATTAACTCCTGGAAACAGAAGTTACGACCGATATATACAGTAATAGCTATGTAAAGAAAAAAAATGCCTATTTTAATACTTATTTTTGTGGGTAGTAATATTGGTGACTTTGGCATTGCTTTTAAATTTGGTTGCGTTTGTTTTTTTTTTTTTTGTTTTTTTTTGTTTTTTTTACGGATGACAATATTAAACATTGGTAAATTTAAACCTTTTTTTCTAGTAGTTATCTTAAAATTCTGATATTTTTTTTCATTTTGCGTTGGCAGCAATTTGTAATGGCAACGTTCACGTCAGTTACATTCTACGGTGGTTTCCGGCGCTGTCCTATCATGATAGTATTATATAGGTCAGGCTACGAATGCTAAGCAATAGAGGTCATTCAAATTCTTGATTTCATTTTTATGCTAAATCATACATGAGTAGTATAAGTTTCATATCATCCAGATCTCTTAGAGAAAGATGTCAAAATTTTTCTTTTTATTTATTTATTTGTTTCTTTTCTTTGTGCCATTTTGTTTTGTCTTGTTGTGTGTGCGTTTTTGAGGTTTTTTTTTTTTGTCATTTTGAGGGGGTTTCCCTGTGTGTGTCATTTTGAGGGGTGTTTTTTTTTGTGGTGGGGGGTTTCCCTGTGTGTGTCTTGTTCGTTTTCTTTGTTTATATCAGCCTGCCTGCTGATTCCTTACCGTAAAGTAAACTTATGTGTAAGGCATATTCTCAAGCTTTCAAGGATAGACTTGTTAATTCAGGATGGACAGTTAGTTCGTGTTCAAACAGTAAACGTTTTCGGAACTATCATCTAGCAGACCTGTAGTAATCTGTCCCATATTCACAGAACCGTAAATCCACTCGTCCACCTCGTCGGCTTCTCCCCTCTTGTTCACTGCCATTGATTTTATAAGCATTCGGTAGCCAGCTCATTCCGGTTATTCCATCTACTCCGTACGTAGCACACCCGGGCTATTCCATCAAACGTTTTCCGTTATATACGACGGAATGTGTCTGACCTGATATTTATTTGTAGCATGGCGCCAATGGCATCGGGCGGCAGACGCTTGTGTCCATGACAGGCTAAACCTGGCCATGTAAATATTATTATCAGTGTCTGCTGTAGGAAAAATTTCAGAAAGCTGAACAAATTGCTCCCCCCCCTGCTCAAAAAAATATTAATCTTATTATTCCTAATTTGCATTTTCCTCTTCGAGGTAATCATGTTTTTTTTTTTTTTTTTTTTTTTTTTTTTTTTTTTTTTTTTTTTTTTTTTTTTTTTTTTTTTTCGGCTTCTCAAATATTTAAAAACCATTTTATTTTTTTTCTAATTGCAAAAATCTCCTTCATGATTTGCGTTTTGGAATAGTGTTTTCTTCAATCAAACAATCTTCAATTAGCAGACAATCAAATTTTCATAAAATCACATCAGTTTCATCAAATATCGTCTTCAAGTCAATTACATGTGATCACTGGAAATCGAAACTTCAATCGAATTCATCCAGTCAGCAAATTCCCGGTGCTCGAGATATGATTGTAGACTTCTCAACGATGGGGAAAATTTTAACAGTAACTCAGCTGGAATCGAAGAATTTTTGATTCGCTGATTTGCCCTCAAGTGAAATTACGTTGGAAATGTGCTGGATTGGCTCCAGAGATGTTGGTATAAAATTCCTCCTCAGAGTTTAGGTCAACAGTTTAAAATCGGTTCTCAAAAACAAAACTGAATACTTATGATTTTTATGCAGAATTAAATATCTTTTATTCTAGCACCCTGGGTATGACGATAAACTACATCCGGCAGCAAGTTCTCTGATCACGGGGTCTTGAGGAGCATGAAACCACCTCTTAATTGCTGGAGTTCTCGGATCCACCCTTACCTGAGGTTGTAGCACCTGTTAGCGTCCCAGCTATGGGCAAATGGTTAACCGCCAAACTGGGGTGAAAGCATTACTAAAGTGTCAAAATAGGTGTTTATGGTAAAAGTAACAGGAATATATTTTTAAAATTATTTCCAGCAATACATTTTACTCTCGACAAAAAGCATCTTTCAAACATACGTCAATGAAACCTTATCTACAAACTGATATCTTAAAAATACATATTCTATTCATACGAACCCATCTTCAAAATTTTGTGGGTATTAAATAACCTATTGAGGTCGATAGTCTGTAAAATAAACCAAACTGTTGTCTCTCTAAAAGGAACAGCCCAACATGCAAATTAGAAATTGGAAATGCTAATATCAAACATACAACAATCTAAATATCTGGGAGGTGTTTTAACAGAGGGAGGAAAGTGGGACAGTGGAATAGCGAAAGATGCTTTCCAAAAGCTAAGCAAAGTATTAACGGAATTATTTTCGTTAGAAACAAAAGTGCTGAACTTTTATACAATATAAGTCCTTCAATATAGCCGTGGATGCTGGATAATCTCTTCACAGAGGAAGAAGAGACTTGAAGCAACAGAAAGATACTAACAATGCCATGGACCGAACATGTGAGCAACAACGTAGTTTTAGAGAAACTGGAAACAAAAATGACAACTTACACTCAGCATCAAGAAGAAATATTTAAAATTCTCGGTCGCATAATTCGAAAGGAGAAATCGAAGAAAACAGGGACATAGGCAAATCGACGCATAATCGACATAGCGACCTTGAGTAAAATGGATAACAGAACAGGGTTTAAAAATAGATAACAAAGACAAAATTTAGTAAGAGTTACAAAGGACATGGAATTGTGGAGAGATATGATCGCTAACTAGCTGAAAGGACACGCCATTTTGAAGACAGAATAATTACCGTTTGCAACTGGCGAAGTAATACTAAAAAAAAATTTATTAAGGTAAAGAGTTGACAGCAAGTTTAGACCGATCTTTTGATCGGAACTCGACTAAGGGAAAGTAAACAGACTCCTTACCTCTGATAGGTTGGAGTAAGATACTGAACCCCTCTTAGCAAACCTTAAGCTATCCATGACGGTGGTACGGTGAAGCCAGTGGCAGCATACTGCAGGATTGCAGTTGTTAAGCGTTGTCTGTATTAGACTGTTTGGTCAAGACCGCTTCCTTTGGCAGGTGGATGAGTTCTCCAGGAGAACTAACGATTGGTGATACCTAGTACAGCTAGGATCCTACTGTGCGGCATTTGGCTAATGCCCCCATTGGCTTTCCGTTGGATCAGGTGCTAGTCAAATCAAGGAGTGCTGCAGTTGGTCCGCGACGACAGTTTGGCACTATAATCCAGTGCAGACAACGAAGAGAAAGAAGAGTCAAAGCATCGAGGCTGGCAAAGGTAGCAGTGAACATCGGTCCGGAGACGTGACCGTTACGCGATTTACGCCGGACCTAGATGAATCTCTGGTCTTCGTCGAATACGACGGGCAGTCGATGACGATGATGAGAGTAAAGAAAAACTGGGCTTCTTACAAAGATTAACGAAATATCACAAGACAATCTTTTTTTCCTCCCAAAAAGATTTTTCGCAATAATTTTTAATTCGAAATTTAAAAGAAATCAAATAAAATTATTTTTTAGCACTATTAATTTCTCATGACCATTGATAGCGGAGCACGATATCTGGAGACGATTGCAAGAGGAAATTTCTCGCTAAGAACGAAGATTGTAAAATAATCTTTATTATATATATATATATATATATATATATATATATATATATATATATATATATATATATATATGAATAGTTAAATTCCCAGATGAATTCTGTGGACAAGACAGATTGGTTATCAAATGACAATTGGAAAAAAAATCTTACATTTTCCGTGCATTTCGTCTTCCGACTTTTTAAAAATGAAATTTTATTGTTGTTATAGTTACATTAAAAATCCAAATTTAAAAAGATAGATTTCAAGCCTTCTTTTTTAAATTTGAAAAGTCGGAAGACGAAATTTTCCTTCAAAATCGGAAGACGATTTTTTTTTTTATATTTGATATATATATATATATATATATATATATATATATATATATATATATATATAGAAAGAGTCTAAACAACGATGCTGAAAATACCATAAACTGAACATCTGCGTCATGAAGTTTTAGGACAAAATGAAAAAAGCATACATTATTAGAATCAGAAGAAAAGACAATTCAAAAAATTCTAGGGTACATAAGGAAAGAGGGTTTGGAGAATTTGAAACTCACCGGACGTATTGAAATCAAGAGAGAGGAAAGCAGCGCATCACCTAACTTTTGATGAGTTTGTGTTAATGATTGGCAGAACAGGGATTAGGAGAGATAGCAAAAAGACAAAACATTAAGAGCAATAAAGGGCAAGAAGTTGTGAAGAGCCATGATCTGCCTCATCCTGAAGGGATACGGCAAGTTATATATTTCATTTGTTTAATTTTAGTACAAGAATTTGTGAAGAGTTTTTCATGAGCAGTACAATACTGTCATTGAGGATCCGTTTTGAACTTTTACTCTATGGACACAGTTCTTTCAGCTAGTTTTCCAAACACATTATCCTTGTAAGTATCCAACAAAGCCATCACCCTTTCAACCGATCAGCCAATGATTAACACACGTTGTGTCTGCACTCTCATTCATGTGGGTGGGCAACAAAGAACTAGAATAAGCCTGTTGCAAGCTAACAAGGAAACGAAAGATGAAAGTAAACGCCACGTCATGAAACGAGGACTCTTCACTTGGTAACAAATCATCTCTTTCCTTTGACTCTTACTCCAACCAAATCTCTGCCCATACTAAACATCGTGATGCATTTCTGGCGACGTGAAATGTTGGCATTGGAACTAACCGAGGGAAAGTCTGTCAAGAACACACAAAACTGATTGCTACAATCTCAATTATGCCTGCTAATAATGACCTTTGGCAAGAAATTCTCATTGTCCAGTTTTGTCGTCACTTGATACCAAAAGCTTTCTTACTGGCTTAAAAGCAACACTCCGTGCAGAATTTTAAGCTAGCTCCTGTAGAGGCCTAACTGGATCTCCGGGCCCAAAACTAAAGGGACTTTTGATCGAGCTTAGAAAACATCATTGATAGTTTTGAAGAAACAGCTTAGAATTGCTCATTTAACTCCATGGAACTTCAAAACCTCATTTTAACACTGATTCGAGCTCTAAGAACGATTTTGGATGAAATTTCAATTCAGGCTGAAAATTGAGTTCTTCAAATTACAAACTGCGCAACTTCAAAACCTCATGTCATGAAACCTCTCGCTTTTACTCCTTTTATTCCTTGGTATTTTGAAGAAATAAAATAAATTTCTTCAATTCAAAGTTTTGAGGGTATTTTAAACTGAATTTAAAACAAAAATATTGAAATACACAACATTTTTGTGTTACTTTAAAATCAGTATAATATAAGCATTTAAAATCACTAATTTTCTTTTTTATTATTTTAAAATTTGAATTTTTAACTGTTCTCTCCTCATCCGGACACAACTCCCGATGCTGAAAGTTCAAGCACCAGATGAAGAACAGATTTTCATTCCAGGAATCATTCTGATTCCAAAAAAGGTTTATGTCTATGTAGAGCAAGTGTGGACCAAGTTAGAGGGGTTTTAGACACAGGGACGGACAGAGATAATTTGCCTTTTATTTATGTAGATATAATGATTCGTTTGTTCCCTTTCATTCAAGTAGATGCCACTTGTGAGACCTGACCTCAAAGACCATCTGCCGATTATAAAACGCGAAACACTTGATAGATTAGCTCACACTTTCCTTTTGGATGTGAATGTCCAAATTATAATGCCAAAGTAATCACGAAATTCTTCTTTCTACTTCTTAGAATGCCAATAAAATTTCTTCAGGTGCCTGTAGTAATTGTCTAATTGGTAGGTCCGTCCAAAACGCAATGCAAACATCTTTAGTTCTATTATTTACTATAGAGTTCTTGCTACCTTCAGAATCTTTATAGATAATGAGATTAAACAAAGTATAAGGCTTTGTTCTGATCAGCAGAATCCAAGTGAAATCTCGCACGCCAAGCGACATTTCTCTAATTATATGTGCTCTGGCTGTCTGTCGACTGTTGGAATATTGAATCACCATGGCTGACTGATCAATTTAGCTGAACATTTCATCTTTAATATACTCATCCCCCAACTATGGGTTAAATAGTTGTAGCTAGGAAAATCATTATTATAAAAAAAAATTAATGTGATATCCTTGCAAAAAAATTATTCTTGCAATCCAAAAAAGTTTTTAATAACCTACAAAGTTTTGATTATTTACATTGTCTATATTGTTCGGACTCTTGCCTTCATTTTTATTGCCATATTCACGATGTTTCGACCGTTGTACGCTTCGGTCTTCTTCAGGTGATTAGAATTTCCAACTAAATCTTCATTTCGTTCACCGGGGTAGATTGTTCTAGTTCCACATGTCATGTCTCTTCTGTACGTCTCCGTTATCTCCCGTTGTTCACCACTGCCATAGTCACAACTCTTTGGGTCAAGTCAATGAATCCAAACAAAGCTTTTCTCTCGTGTGCCATGTGTTTAAACAATCCAATAAAGCAAAAAACATATGCACTAATCGTCAAAAATAGTTTCTCACATCTCTCCATGAACTAGTCATGTGCCTTTCTCTCACTGGACCACGTTTAATATTGACGTGCACCACCAGGATTATATGAAGTTGAGCAAACGGTGTCGAATATATTACAGTAGTCATTCATGATGATGCGTACTCAGTGTTGTAAGCGTCGATGTCTTTTGTTTTCAAGCGATTTTGTAGGCGTGTTCGAATCAATAAAATTAGTTCTTGTAAGCGAATCTGGGGAAAAACGTGCACCTCATGAATGAGCATTGTGATGAGTATTTTCAAGTTCAGCAAGTCTCGGACGGCCAAAATAATTATATTTTATTGATTGTTAGTTTCTCTCTCGGACAACTCCTTGCTTTGTATTTCTTTCTTGCACGTATTTTTTTCTTCTCTTGTCTCCCAAATTTCTCGTTTTCCTTCCTTAAACCACATTTCAGTAGCTTTCTCCTCACTTTCTGGACAACTGCCTTGTCTGTTTTGTTACATTATTTTATGATTTACATTGTCTCTCTTTTACTTCTCACCCTCTCTGTGTAACGCGCTTCTCTCTCTCTGCATGAGGCACACACACTTCTCTCTCTCTCTCTCTCTCTCTCTCTCTCTGCATGGGACGCGCACGCTCTCTCTCTCTCTGCATGGGACGCGCACGCTCTCTCTCTCTCTGCATGGGACGCGTACTCTCTCTCTCTCTGCATGGGACGCGCACGCTTCTCTCTCTCTCTCTCTCTCTCTCTGCATGCATGGGACGCGCACGCTCTCTCTCTCTCTCTCTGCATGGGACGCGCACGCTCTCTCTCTCTCTCTGCATGGGACGCGCACGCTCTCGCTCTCTCTCTCTGCATGGGACGCGCACGCTCTCGCTCTCTCTCTCTGCATGGGACGCGCACGCTCTCGCTCTCTCTCTCTGCATGGGACGACGCTCTCGCTCTCTCTCTCTGCATGGGACGCGCACGCCTCTCTCTGCATGGACGCCTCTCTCTCTGCATGGGACGCGCTCGCTCTCGCTCTCTCTCTCTCTGCATGGGACGCGCGCTCTCTCTCTCTCTGCATGGGACGCGCACGCTCTCTCTCTGCATGGGACGCGCACGCTCTCTCTCTCTGCATGGGACGCTCTCGCTCTCTCTCTCTCTGCATGGGACGCGCACTCTCTCTCTCTGCATGGGACGCGCACGCTCTCTCTCTCTGCATGGGACGCTCACGCTCTCTCTCTCTGCATGGGACGGACGCTCTCTCTCTCTCTCTGTGCATGGGACGCTCTCGCTCTCTCTCTCTCTCTGTGCATGGGACGCTCTCGCTCTCTCTCTCTGTGCATGGGACGCTCTCGCTCTCTCTCTCTCTGCATGGGACGCTCTCGCTCTCTCTCTCTCTCTCTCTCTCTCTCTGTGCATGGGACGCTCTCGCTCTCTCTCTCTCTCTCTCTCTCTCTCTCTCTGTGCATGGGACGCTCTCGCTCTCTCTCTCTCTCCTCTCCTCTCTCTCTCTCTCTCTCTCTCTCATGGGACGCTCTCGCTCTCGCTCTCTCTCTCTCTCTCTCTCTCTCTCTCTCTCTGTGCATGGGACGCTCCTCTCTCTCTCTCTCTCTCCTTTCCTCTCTCTCTCTGTGCATGGGACGCTCTCGCTCTCTCTCTCTCTCTCTCTGTGCATGGGACGCTCTCGCTCTCGCTCTCTCTCTCTCTCTCTGTGCATGGGACGCTCTCGCTCTCGCTCTCTGCGCATGAGGAACACGCTCTCTCTCTCTCTCTCTCTCTCTCTGTAGTAGACATAATGATATCTATAAATGAGTACATCACTTGTGTTTAATGTACATATTGTGTCTGTATAATTATTTGTGTGTGTCTTGTTTACGTAACCTGGAAGGAACAAATCCTTTCCAATAGTGCAAAAAATACTCTATAAAATCTAAATTCACTATAAATACAAGAAAAAATCTTAGCAATTTCAACTTGCTAACTTCAGTTTCGTTTAAGCAAAACCAAAAAAGAAAAATTCATAATAAGGAATAGTTAGTAAAATGATATTGTATTCAAGAAATATACGACTTTTATTTTGTATTGTTATATTGAAATTTCCTCTTTTTTTTTTTTTTCTACTTATTAGAAACAAGCATTTAAAATAATTCAGTAACCATTTAAGCAACTTTTGATCTTAACTAGCTAAGAAGCCGCCCTGCGGAGGGTTTTTTGGACCTTCGGCCTATTATCTTCAGCGTCCTATGTACGTAGAAGTTATAACAAATTTAGAAATAATTTTATTTTGTTTTTATTCGACACCTTAATTCGGCATAATCTTTCTTCGTATACGCAACCGATCTCCGTATTTTGTTTGCATTTATTTTGCGCGCAATTTTTATTTTCTAAAAATCACCATTCTTTAGGATCCATTCTTAAGACATGAGTGAATCCGAACTATGTAATATTCCGAATACGTTGCAGTACGCGTGATAGAAAAAGAACAAAAAAAATCATGAGCGACATATCGTGACCTGCTTAAGTTATTTTAATTACAGTTTAATTAGATGATATTAATTGCGACGAAAAGCGAAATTAAAGTTGAATCTTTAATAAATTATTGTTTTTTTAAAACCTTTCACTCTGTTCGATATTTCGATTTATTTTAATCGTGTGTAACTACAGTAGTTACTACCTTTTACTTCAGCTTGTTTATGATGTGCTGAGATCAAAAAGCGGACGGACAAACGTACACTGCGCTTTTATTATTATAGATTCTTACACAGAAATGAAAGAACCCCCATTACTGGCCAGAATCCCTATTTGATTATGAAAAAAAAGTCTTGTTATATAATAATAATAGAATAAAACTACACACCACTACTTTGTGGCACCATGCATCCAGGCAGAGAAAGAAAGGCAAAAAGGGAAAAGAAGAAAGGAAGGGAAAAAGTAATGCGAGACGGATCATAGGTGATAAGCGAACACACACACACGGCTTAAGAGACAATTTTTAAAAAAAAGGGTTATTTTGGATAAGTGGCAAATGGCGAAAAGAGTGTCATTACAATGAGATTGAGTGGGTAGGGAAGTGTTATCTAAACTATTGGTACAAGAAGGCATCTTATTATCAAAACACAGGCCACCGGCCAAGGGAAAAATTCAAGCGAAAGTGTTATTTCGATAAATGACGACAAGAAACAGGCGACTAAAAAAAGACTTTGGACAGATATGAAAATTAAAGGCCACCTGCGAGCAATCATTGACCGATTTTCCTACTTGGCCTGCGCGAATGGAATTGTGTTATCAAGAAATGTTCGCCAAAGAAAGTCCACTTGAAAACGTTAGATTTTGATAATTGACAAAACACAGGTGTAGCTCGGAGCCTTAGCTAGATATGGAAAATTAAAATCCCACACAGGCAGTCTCGCTAATTAAACTCTTTTCAACAAAACAAACTTTTGCCCTGCGATAATAAAATTTTGTTATCAGACACATGAACCGAAGGAAAATGAATGGAATAAGAAATGTTTTTATTTCTTCCTTGGAAACGTCAGACCGACTGAAAACTTGGAGAAAATTCTTTTCTGAGGCCATGTCATCTGATGAATTATCGATAAACTGCTTGACAAACGCCACGTGTTGAACAAATAGTTGTCATATTATCCGTTCATGATAACGGCGATTTGAAAGGAAGAAAAAAAGGAAAGAGAAGGGATAATTATTTTTTTTAGTTAAGCAAGGTATTTTTTTTTCCCGAAACAAAGCCGCGGGTTGTTCACGCCCGACTAAGACGTCATTGGTCAAGTGGTGATCACATGACGCACGAAGGAGGAGGAAAGATACGCGACCAAGACCTCATTGGCCGAGAGTGATCACGTGACGCACGAAGAAGGCTGTCGACGCCCCCACCCAGAGTATAAGTATGAGAAGCCGCTACGAAGAAGTGGGGAGGGCAGTTCACGCCCCTCAGAAGCATGGTGAGGAAGTGGAAAAAAAAGTTACCAAAAATGGAAAAGAGTGGAAAATCCCTAACCAGAAATAAAAGAGGTGGATATGTATTTAGAATTATCGAGGAACTCCCCGACGCCAACAGACCCAACCCGGTTTTTGTCGACGTCAATAAAAGCCAGGCCCCAACAGGCAGAAATCAGTTCAGGCCCTGACGGCAGAGATGAGTGTCCAGTAGTTCGTTCGGCCCTGGCGGCAGAGATGAGTATCCAAAGTGGAGCTCCAGTTTCCATAGTTGAAGCCGCCTCAAGATAGCTGACTAAGATTCACGCAAAACTCCGGACTCCTCTTCAACCTAGAACAATTATTTTGAAGAGCGACTTAGGACCAGACCACCGAAATAAGTTTTTCGACTTTCGTCCAGAGACAAAGCGAAACACAAATTTCTTAGAGAGCAAACAACTTGAAGCGTTAAAACTTGCCTAGCGAAAACGACATGTCACAATCCACAGAACGGGTCGGGAGATAGATGCAGTCCTATGTATCGAACAACTAGACATAAAGTTTGTTACCTTTTTCTTTGATACTTTGAACTTTTTGAGTTTTCATTTTATTTTCTTTTATGCATATTTGTGTGTTATCACCCCCGTTGAACTCAATTTGCATTACGGCCCCAACCACTGTTTGATCTCGTCTGTCTAAGATCAATCCACAACGTGGGTAGGCAGACTGGAGATCAGTGCAGTTACCTTGGTAACCAGGCGTTGGAAGCGAGTTGGGGACGGCGAGGCTGATATCAAATCTAACCAGATTCCCACCCGAATCACCAAAAGGTTAGAACGTCACATTTGGGTGCCGCGACCGATACCAAGCCAGTTGGTCGTCACAGGATGAGACAACACGACTGACGCGACAGGCGGACGTCACGTTTGGAGCAGCGACACTCGGACGGAGCAGCGAGGAGCGAACAGCTGGCGCCGCGGCGAAGACGTCACAATTGGTGTTGTGTATGGACGTCACAACTGGTGTCGTGACCGGGATAGGACCCTGGAACGGCCACGTCACAACTGGCGCCGTGGTAGATCAGGATAGAACGTCACAGTTGGCGCTGCGACCGGGGGACGACGTCACAACTTTCTGATGTGTGAAAGCGTGATACCTGAAAAAAACAAACCCTGATGCGTCAAGAATTGACACCCGAAAACTAAGATCTAATTTCTAAGGCTGACCAAGAAGAATTTTAAATGAAAATTAGTTCATTTGTCTGGATTTGGGGAAGTGAATCCATCCGAGAAATTTCAGCACTCTCTTCTATACGTATTTTGATATACATGGATTATCCGTATTCCTATAAATTAAGCATTACCTTAAAATTTTCATTGATGTAAAATAGTTTGCTATTTTCTTTTCACTTAGAGCTTTTGAATTTGAAGATTTTTTTTTTCCTCTCATTTCATACAGTCTACGTGTTAACCGGAATTCAATATTCTCTGTACCAAATATCTAACAGAAATATACCTACTATTATTTTATACAATTAGACGCACTTCTTATCTTCTCTCGGAGAAGGAAGAGACAATCTTCTCAAAGAAAACTGAAAAAAAAATCACTTATTGGCCATTTTCGTCAAACAATTATTTATACAATTTGTTCCGTTAATATTAATGGCAGAAAACATTTATTATACCTACTTCTGTTTGCGAAAACTGCTCGACATTGTCACCAATTTTGTTGCTCGACTCCATGTATTGAAGTGACTGTATACTTGAGACAGATGTCTGGTTGTTAGTAAGGCTCCACGTGATCATATTCCACGCATGCTCAGTAAAAACAAAATTAATATTGCTGACTGATCAAATAGCGAAAACTTGTGATGCTGCGCAGCTTCCTGATGTAGTTTTTTTTTTTTTTTGTATCGGAACGTTATCTTGAACTTTATCGGTGAAACAATGCATTTGTGCAGTACAATACGGGCATTTTTTTTTCTTTTTTTTTTATTGAAGGGGGGTCGCATTAGAGGGGAGGGATTTTTTTTTCTTTGAGGGTCCTTTTTTTTTTTTTTTTTATTTTTGTTTTTTTGTTTTTAGCCTTTTTAGCTTTTTTATTTGGCGGGGGGGGTGCTCTTTTGGGGGCTTTTTTGCCGGTGTTTTCTTTTTTTCTCATTATACTCTTTGGTCGTATTATTTTATGACTTCAGGAATTACCTGGCTAGGAGAAATGTAGTTTAAAAACAGTAAAATCGACCTTGCTAACCGTAACGCTCCTCTGTGACTAAATCGGTAAACCACGTCAGGCTATATGACAGTTCCGTTTAGGATACAAGTTCGATTCCTGTCGGAGGATGCATATTTTTCTATGAGAATTTCTCGGACATTCAGGCCGCTAAATGTCGTTAATACTGTTTATTATAAACAGAGCATTTACTTAAATATTTGTGTCTCTAAAAAAGAACATATAAACATAAAAATGTCTTAATTATATATATATATATATATATATATATATATATGTTTTTTTTTTTTGTGTATTGATATTAATTAATCATCCGAGATTAATGTTCTTATGTGTCTATTCAGAACTTCAGCGACCATGGCTCTCCGTAATTCCCTGTCCTTTGTAGCTCATAGTAAACTGTTTTATGTTATCTCTCCTAAACTGCTATCTATTTACTCAAGCTCGTTAAGTAGGTTAAGTGCTGTTTTCCTCTGTTCCTCTAGCCTTCAATATGTCTTGTAAGTGTCAATTTTTCCAAGCCCTCTTTTCTCATTACATGCCGTAGAAATTACAACTGTCTCTCTCTGATAAGTATAAATGTCCTCTTTGTTTACATTTTCTCTAATATTTCCTTGTTGCTCACATATTCAGTCCATGGTATTCTCAGCATCCTACTGTAGAACTATA